TTGTTAAAGAAATATGCCGACATTTTATAATTACCAATAAAGTTTTAATCCAAAATTCAAATTAAATACAGTGTTTAAACTTTAAACTACACCAATTTTTTTTAACAGAACTCGGTTTTCATAACACTCAATAATAAAACATAGTTCAAGATGAAACACCAAGTCTTAGAAAGATAAAACGAGTTCAACATCAAGAACACAAAGTCTTAAAAAACCCAAACCTACTCCGATTCAACAAGGCAGGATTCACTCACTCAGCTAGAGCCAATAGCGCCTCACGGTAAGACTTGTATCTCAAGTTTCTTAGTCTTCTTAAGTTTAGAAAGGCTTCTTGACACAATGCTGCTGCCAACGGATGGTGAAGGAGGAGGTGAGACGGGAGTGTATGGTTCTTCGGGAGGTTCAAGAGAAGGATGTTTGTACTCGGCATCAGAGTCAGATTCATCATGCGATCCCTCGTCCACATCAGATCCAGAAACATCAAGGAGAAAGTAATGAATGATGAGTTTTCCACGGTAGGGCGAACACCTATAAACCCGTTTTATGTAAAGGGTTTCAGTTTCAGGGAAATGACGTTTTGACTCAGTGATGTTGATGACAGGAATAGTTGCCATTGGTTGGTGGATGTTGGGAAAAAAAAAACTACACCAGCTATTACCAACATAACCGAATCAGCCAAACACGAACTATAAATGATTTACGTTAAAGTCACCAATTATATTTTTGTCGTCTTTTACATTTTGTCAAATTTTATTATAAACTAATCTTCAATCAAACAGTCACCCAAATTCAACCACATTTAGACTCGAAAACATCCGCCAACCGGAATCTGAGATGAAGCTCACGAAAAACAAAAGAAACTGCATTTGCTAGGCTTTTCCAAAAACACCTTACAATTTTTTTTTTTTTATATCTTCATAATGCTAACAAAATCTACATCGCCTGTGGCAATTAGATAAGGTGTAGTACCACACCTTAAATAATTTTCAAGCATGTGATCCTAGAGAATACCATCAGCTACGTCTATAATCTCTGCAAATTCAACCACATATGATACATGCAATCATGATAGATAGTTTTACGAACAACGATTCTATATCACAATTTTTTTCCACAACATATGTATTTACAATGAATGTATCAGACAACTTTATATGTACCACATTTACGATTGACAGTTTTTCTTAAAATCATAACATATAACTACTCTCTACTAGGGGTGGGACGATTCCGGATACCCCGGAATTTCAGAGT